TAGATGGGTCCGGTCTTCCTCTGGGAATCCAGTGGTGAAAGGCTGCCTCTGGTGCTCCAAGCCTCAAATTATATCCAGGTAGGAATGCTTGGCTCCTCCCCCTAGGTGGAGCATCTCACAATGGAATGATGTAATTTCATCAGCCATGCAGTGAGAGTCAATGTTCATTTACAGAAGATATCTCCCTGGAGTTATGAGGAATGGGTCATGGAAGGGATAAAGAACACTGCCCCACATGGTTTTAACAGATGGTAATAGAATACCATAGAATAGAATAGATGCTTTTGGTTACATCTTGCATTGCAACCCAGGACAACCCTAAAATCCCCAAAACTGAAAAAAAAGATCAATAATGAGAAGAAAGCTTGGAAAGCATAGGCAAGGAGGAAGTGTGAAAACAAAATTTTCAAAAGGCACTAACACTATCTATCCACTTAGGGCTCCAATAAGGAGAGAGCTGTCCATTCTTAAACCCTCTGGAGGGGTTGGTATGCTTGCCCATACAGAGGCATCTAGTAGCCTTTCAGATGCTTTAGGGCTTTGGGCTTGGCCTTCAAGTGACATGCTAGAAGAGTAAGGCACTCCATACTTTTTTTCATATTTCCTACATTTCATACATATTTCCTAGTTCTTCACAGAGGTCTTGGATACCCTGAGTGCGTCTCACATGGTGCTAGACATTTCCATGCAGTCAAGGAATTGCAGTCAGTGTCTGGCCTTGCAGTGCCATGAGACAGTCTGACTGCACGTAGTCTATGGTTAAATGCCCAAAACTGGTCTAAATAATCTGCCTTTAGGAACCAAGAACAGTGAGCTGAGCTGCTCAAAGACTTAATTGTTCTCTTAGTGATTGGAATAATCAAAATGTTCTTACTCCTCATGCTAAATTCTTTGACCAAAAACCATAAAAATTGTTACTCATTGCTTTAGGCAGGCCTGAGTTTGTTTAAGTCTTCATTGGAGTCCTCAAAATCTCAAATTACAGCAGCAAGACTCAAACAGTTTCTTGCTCAATAGAAACATAAATATTTTTTCTATGATCAGATTGTTTATTTTAATGTCTAATGGGATGCCAATTCAGAAAATAAATACTGATTCATGCTATAGAAGTTCACAGTAGTCATAAATTAACAATTTTATTAGAGAAGTAGAGTTGGATTTTAATTCATGAGGGTGATGAGAAGGTCATCAAACGGAAATGATAAAATTTTAATATCTCATTAGTGGTAAAACAGTGTACTGTAAACTTACAAAACCCCAAGTGTTTCTCTAATTAGTTAATTTTTTTGTATGGAAGCTTTTCTTCCTAATACTATAAAAGAATAAAGAAAACAGAACAGTGACCCAGCCTCCTGCTGGCATTTTCCTATTATCACTATTCCAGGATAGCATTACACGTCTACCTCAAAAGCAGCAGAGGAAAGCACATCACTGTGTCTGCACCTCTGCACAGTGTTCCTCTTTGCATGGACTCTGGGTTTCTCTTTAATGAAATTACCCTTTTCAGTGGGCTTTTGCAAAGGGGTAATTTAAAAGCAAAAAATTTGTCTGACTATGAATGATCTTGATGTCGATCAAGAATAAGACCATTTCTCCCTTTTTCAAAATGTTTTCAAATTTACCAGTCATAAGATAAGCTCTTTGAAGAGCTTTCCCTTCTCAAGTATGATGAAGGTGGTCAGAAATGACACAGAAAGGTCATTTGCAGAAATGGCACAACAGCTTGGAACATGCTCATCCTTGTGTACTTCCTATTAATTTCCAAATTTACTTCATAATCACAAAATTACCAAGCAACTGTCAACACACTATTGTTTATATTGGACGCCTTAAAAAGATTACCTTGATTTTAACCAGTCTCTCACCTCCATCTATTGACTCTGCAGATTTCAAAAATAATGATCACAGAATCACAGAGCTATCATCAAGGTACAGGTTCTACTCATTTTAGTTATAGGATTCTAAGCATAAAGAGGAATGCTGAAAGATTGCAGAGTTTTTTCCTCTTAATTACTGTGTACCAGAAAAACAAGACCATTTTAATGTTTAAAAGACAGTTTGACATATTAGATGAAATGACAATGGCTCTGCTATCCACTATTTTCTTACTTCTGACACAAGTAAACAAAAGGCATCAAATCAGTGGTAAGGAGTGAATAAAAGGACGGAACAAAATAAATTCTGAAAGAATAACTTTTCTTAAGTTAGGGTCCCTGTGTTTCTGTAAGTACCACTTTTGCATTTAAAAAATAATAAAACTGGATACTGAAAAGAAATTACATGGATTTTGTTCCTTTAAAGGGAACAACTAAACAACACACACTAATTCAGTCCACCTTATAACTGAAAATAATGGTTAGAAAAATTGTATGCATACAAATAAGGAAATAACAACTGTTTCACATGAGATATTAGACAGATAAAGCAGAGGGTCTATGACAGCCTAAGCTTCACAGATAAATGTTATTGTAGAATACACTTTGTGTGCAACATAACACATAATGAGAGTATACAAAAGTTCCAACTAACAAGACAAGTGACAGGTGTGCACTACTATGGAGGTATTTAGGTTTAAATTATATGAAAGAGAGAGAAGACATTGCAAAGGTAGAGTTTACTCGGTTGGTCATAGCTGTCACTTATGAGACTGCAGAGAAATGTAGAGTTGTCTGATGGAGACTGCAGAGAATAGTTTATTTTGCTCAATAAACCATTTTATATGCATGGTATCACACAGTACAGAGTATGCATTCATCAGCCAGCAAGGTCCCGGCTCTCATAAAACAATTTAACAGGACACTGCCGACTTGAAATATTGATAATCTGAAATCTTACCCCTCTGCAACCACCCCAAACAAAAATAAAGACAAAGAAAAAAAAAAAACAAACAACCTCCCACGATTTAGTTCTGCCATTTTTTTGCAATTTTTTTCATCAGATTTTCCAACCAAGTAAAAATTTTCACTTTTCTATGGCTCTGTGAAAGTTCCACCTACTGGAAATTGGCTGCATTAATAAAGGGGAAACTAGAAACAATTAGTCTCTTTTATTTTATCCTTGTTACTTGTAATAAAAATCTTGCTATTCATAGAAAATACAACTAGATGCTTAGAAAGAAGAGTGACTTTTTCCTGTGTGTAAGTGTTCTTTAAACAGCCTGGTCTAAAGGCCCAGCTGGCAGAAGTATTCATAGGCTTGCCAAACTCTAAACCACAATAAAATTGCCACTAATGCTACCAATTTAGGCACCACAACTTCTGTTAAATGTACCAAACAAAATTACTCTAAAAGCATGTAATTTTTTAAAATAGTATTTGTTATTTAAACTTCACAATTTCATTGATGCAAGCAATGGTTGAAGCACCTAGAACAGGCTGTCTGGGTGCTTAGCTTGAGCAAAAGAAAAAAAAACAAAACATACTCACAGTGTGAAATTCAAACGTCCCACAGGAACTAAAGGCGGGCAAGAAGTGACATTTCAGGGTATTGCACTTTGTATATCAGGGACATTTAAAATTTACCAAACAAATATCCATGACCAGAATCTAGAGTTTTATATGAATATTTTGTTTATCTATTTTTCCTAGATCTGCAGGGCTAGAAATTAAGGAATGAAGAACCTTGGCATGCCATTTTCTCACTATACAACAAAGTGTAGTACTTATAAATAACATAGATATAAACCAAGTATTTCACATAAAAATTTACAGAATTGGAGACATACGTGCCTGGTTCAATACACAGATAAATCCAGGTAGCTATCAAGCCCCATTTTGATTTCTTTTAAGCTCTTTTTAGTAATGGTAAGAAATTAAATCAGAACAATGTGTAGTACCACAGGTTATAATGAAATAATTTATTTCTTTCAGTATATTAAAAATAGTCTGAGTTAGTTATTCTGAGAAAATACAGTGAAAAACCATGTAGAAGACAATTGTGAATTTGTAAGAACCATTTTTGGGTTGACTTATGCTTTTAACAAGCATTTTGTAACTTTCTTTCTTATTATTATTGCCATTTTATTGGCCAATTTTGCTGTGGTTCACAAAATTTGAATCACCTCAGAATCATATTTCACACTCAGCTAACTTTGAATATATCTTAAAAATTTCACAGATGTAAGCAGCATTCAGGAGCATACATTTTAATAGGTGTTCTCAAGCTTTTCACCAGCCACCCATCAGGGCAGCCACTCTATCACCACCCACCCACCCTCCAATATTTCCTTCCTTGTGAGAATCAAATGGCATGTCTATGAAAACATGACACGTGTGAACTTGGACAAACCTAGCATTAGAATATTTTTGTTGGGTTTTGCGTTTTTTTTGGGGTGGGAGGGTGTTGTCTATTAGTGACTGTGAAAGAATTACAAATGCTGTGCAGAGTCATCAGGGCAGGGCAGAGGCTGCAGCTCACAAAGCTACTCTCAGGACCCTAGTGTTCAATTGCCAAAAACAGTGATTTGAACAAAATTGACTGCACCCATGATGTGGACCTTTGTCCCAGCTTCTCCCTCCCTTCTAGGACATATTTTCCCTCCTGCTCCCAAGATGAAGCCTGCAGAAGATATAAACACTACAATTTTTACTAACAGTTTTGACCGCGGACATAAGAGGATGTATTCTGTAAATATAAAATAATCAGAGTTCAGCTTTCTCAATCACAAAAGCAGACATCCCTCACAAAGCCACATTTCCATATGTTAATTTACTATTGGATAGAGAAATAAGCATCACTATAGGATTGTCTATAAAATTTCCTAAAAATACAGATTAAATTGCAGGATAAAATACATGTATTTCACAGACATCTTTAAGACACAGTAAAATTAAAATATTGATTTTAATATTGGTTTACTGTAATTTAAAAGTATAATTTATTCTTTCCTTAATATTATATCTTTAACCAGAATATATATATATTTTGAGTCCAGCTAAGCAATAATTCAAAGAGAAAATTGGAACTACAGTTAAGAAGTACCTTCACAGTTCATGAGATAATAAAAAATAATATAATACTTTTCTATTTACCAGACTTGTCAAAACTGTCACCTGCACACTTATTAGCATAATTCAATCAGAAAATCACAGTGTACCAGCTTCTCACGTTTAATGGCTAAATGAGTTCTTTATGGTTTCACACCTCATACTCACCTCAAGAATGTCACCACAATGAAGCTCTTAAGATGAAGGAGAAAGGGACAATGAATATGTAAGCAATCTGTCTACTTTGTATCAAGTAACAGCAACCTCTAACTTCTAATAATAAAATTGGAACTTTTATTTAAACAGAAAATCTTCCATTTCTGAATCTGGTAGTCAGGGCACCATCTGGTCTTCATTTTTCTCTGTTTCTTTATTGAGCTTTCCCCAGGATCCTTAGAAACTTCCCAGATGTATGTTTTCTCCAGTTCCCAGCCCTCTCTCTCCAGGGGGCCTAAGATGTCCATCATTGCAATCAATCTCATCTGCACTAAGCTGGTGCAAGAAGATGAGGGAAGATTACTCAAGAGAGATCTGTGTCAAATGTATATGATTTCCTATAACCTGCTTCCTGATAAGCTTCTTGTTTGCCAGGCATTTGTCAGATGTCAGATGTTGTCACAAGGGACATCCATCCTAACTCAGTATTTAAGAAAAAATTAGAAGGAAACTGATGCCTGACATTTATTTATACATAATGCTAACATTTATGCCCTATCATTATTGTATTCTTTTTGGACTGCTTTCTATTAAATCAACATTACAAAATGCAGAGGTTTTTTTTAACCTAATTTACTTTATGTGCTTTTCTCCTAAATTAAATATATGTGACTGCAGACAATTTTCAGAATGGAAGTAAAGATTATAGAACATAATTCAAACTGCAGTAGCAAGTGCTAAAATCTGAAGATAAGCTATCCCTTCACCTTGTGATTTGTGAAAATACTATATCATTTCAGACATATATTATGTCATCACCACAATGTTTCTTGCATAGAGCCTGTGTTACCATAATTCTAACCAGATTTAGAAAACAGAAATCTTTAGGTAATCTGATTTCATTCCCAACGCTTCAACTGCATTAATATAAACATCTGTCAGGTCAGAATCCTGTGGCATAATTAAAATGTCTTCAGGTTTCTCTTGATATATTATCTTCACATATTGGGGTAAGGAAAGAATTTAACCTATACCTAGCACTTTTCTAAACAGCAACCACAGGCAGTCATTTTTTATGCTGAGAAACTTCCTAGGATATTGTCCTACATTGTAGTTTCTCCAGCACCAAAGGGATTTTAAGAATGCACCTGCCATTATGCAGTAAGACAACTCAGCAGTGGGGTTTATTTGTTCATGTTGAAATCAGATTGCTCTGGAGCATGACTCCACAGAGAATCAGAGCAGCACAATTAAGAGACCATCGAACTGAGGCAAGGAGGAAGGTGTTTGAATGGGAACACCTTTACCCCCAGAGAAGTCTGACCAGGGATTGCACAATTTGTCAGTGAGCAACAGTTCCTGACTTGCTGACTACAGAATACTAGGTGAGCATATAAATTCCAGGTGGTCTTTGCAAAAGAGGCTCTATGCATGGGAGTCTGGAACCACATAGAGTACAAACTGAGAATAAAGGACTAAGACAGCCTGAAACAGAAGCAGGGAGAGGGGAGGCAGGAGGGGAACCACACAGTAAGACTGTCAGAGCTACTGAAGCAATGAAGAAGAAGAGGAGGAGGAAGGGGGAGAGAGAGACTTAAATTCCTTCTCAGCAAGCTTTGGCAATCTTCCTGCAATATAGAAATGCCCAAACTAATTTCCAAATGATCAGTCTAGCTTGTCAGTACTATGTAAGGACAAGATGATTAGTGAGGACTAATTTATCCTGCTTTTCAGCCTCTATGAGAGTAGACATACCTGAAAGGCATGAATACACACAGTTTTAAATATATTTCATTAAAGTACGAAATAAGGCATGGCTTAAATAAAGCTTGACAAATTTATAAACCACATCACCATGAGCTTATAGGCCAACAACCTACATGTCAAGTTATTGCAGAACATCTAATGAAAAAAAAAATATCACTGGCATAAAACATTTAATTTTAGAATAGAAATTTAAAATGGATGGATTCCAGAGCTTTTTCCATGGTCTTTTGGTTTTGGGCTTTTGTTTGGGATTTTTAACATGTTCATCTTGTCAGCTGGATTATATACCACTACAGAAGGAAAAAACCTGACCCTCGCTCCAGACTCTTACCTGGACTCTCATCCTGATTTTAGAACGACAGTTTCAAGACTCAGAACAGAATATCCAAGTTGAAGAATGTAAGGGTTTTCCTTTCTATGAAAAGAATGGTTTTGGTAATTTATTCATTGGAGAATTTCCTTACAAATAACCAGCTGTAGCACAGCCAGCTGCTCAGGGTGATACCAAGGAAATTAACAGATACTTTTAAGAAACATTACTAAGCAATTCAAATAGTGGAATCAAAATGCAACTTTCACTAGAGACCATCTCTGCAGACCTACTTCTTTGTTAGCTACTAGTGGTTTATGTTGTAAAGCTGTTCTCTTTCACAAACCCAGAAGGGACACATTTGTGTGTCTGCTGTAACAAAAAGCAGGACACGTACAGCAAGGCAATAATCAGCAACAGCGAATTTGTTGGTTTTCTTGGTATACTGTAGGGACCAGCCACCAGTAAGCTCACATAACACAGACACAATACAGCTGAACCAACTTGGGAATGCTACCATTATTTGCTTATAACACACTATGGAATACCTTTTTTCTTCTCATCCAATGGTGATAGGCTATAAAGTGGAGCATTATGTATATAATTATGCTATTTCACCAGTAGTGTGTTCAGTATATAACAAGCATGAGGAAGAAAAAAAAAAAAAAAGATGGAAAGGCTGTTCTTATAAAAGCATTTATTTTAGACTACACACTGGGACTTGAGACCATACCTTGAGATCCTGATTTAGATTAAATAGGTGTCAAGATCTTCCAGCTTCATCTGATCTCGTAAGACCTGCTCCACTTGGATTAACTTGGAAGAATGTACACTCCTTCAAGGAAAGTTGAATATTTTTTTCTAGCAAGATAAGAAAGAAAATCGAAATATGTTTTTGTCTGTAAAAATACAAAGATAACACCACATTGCTCGTGCTCGGAATCCCAGAGAGTGTAAAATTTATCTAATTCGGAACTAACTCCTTTATTTTATATAAAAACATGTTAAATAATAAAATAAAAAAATAAATAAAACAAAACCCAAAACATTTGTCAGTCTGAGAAGTATCCAAAGAAGAAAGATAACACAAAGCCATTGATAATGCTCATGCACCTACACCTTGATAAGAGTAATGAAGGGAGGAATGGCGAGGAACACATCTCCAGTGAAAGAATTTGAGTGGTTCATCTTTGAAAGTTTATCAAAGCAGCAAGCTACTGACCATGCAGCTGAATTTTCAGAGAAAAAGAGAAAAAATACCTATTGAAATAAGTATTAAGGATCTAGTTACTGACATTGAAGGGAATAACATCCATATGCAGACTCAAATTTATGTAAAAAAAAATCTTAACCTAGTTTTATGTAGACAGCAGCATTAAATGTCAGCTTAAGTTTAGAAATATGGATTTTGTCCTTCACTGGAACAAAAGCAAAGCATTTCAGATTTTAATGCAATATGTCCCAGAGTCTGTATTCCAAATATAAGAATTCAAATTTGGAGCTGTTTTGGTTTTATGTAGTATTTCTCTTTCCTCCCTTTTGCATCTTAACTTTTTACTAGCATATCTTTTACTTTGAATTTAAGTGTGTACAAGGAAAGGTCAAAAAAAGCTAAGTGCAATCTTTAATAAAAACAGCACTAAAAAACATTCCATCAATTTGGTTTACAACCCACCTGAGCGGGAAGGGATTTCTGAGAGAGTTCTCATTTAAATCCTTCTCACAAGACAATGTAAATGTACAGGAAATTTTTTTTTTTTTTTCTTTCAGGTCAGTTCACCAACCCTTAAAGAAGCCTATAATAAACCAGTAAACATTTGCTAGAGTAATTTTTTACCACTTACTAAGATGACAGCATGGACAAGTTTTAAACTCATGAGCAAATATGATATTGGACAGGTTGAGCACAGATACATTTGGAAAACACCCATGAGTGTGAGCTAATGTGCAGTCTTAGGTGACATTAGATTCTTTTTAGATGTATTTCCATAAGGAAAGTTTGGTTTCAGCCTGCAGCTGGGCCCTGTGTAGGGAGACTTGCAGGACTGTCTCTCCTATGATCACCAGAGATAACAGTGCAAACAGAGCTTCCCTAGGAAGTTCACAAAGCCACTGCTATCTTAACACTGAAAATCTTCTACACAACAAATATGCAGTATACTTCACACCTTGAGACAGAAATGTAACTCATTGAGAACAATGCAAAATAATCCAATTTTAATCAAAACAAGGTTTTACAACAATTTCTTTAATAACTTAGGAATTTGATCATAAAATCATACCATCTCAGTGTGATGCCCTTCCAAGCAAAATGTGGCACATCTTCAAAACACAGTACATTTATAATGGAACCCAGCTTACAACCTGAACTTTTCTGAAACTAGTATTATTTTCTACATCATCTTTGGTATGAAAATTCTGTGCAAAATCCTATTTTTTGACATTAGTATCAGAAGCAATAATCATTGCAATTATGAAACCATTTAATAAACCTGCCTCTGAAAACTCCTCCTGGTGTGAGACTGTCAAAGTCTACCAATGTTCATATTTGTGATGTAGTATGACAGTGCTGGCCTGAGAGCAGAAGACAAAGACATATTGCATAATAAGCATTTATTCCCAGTACATATTTTTAAATGTATAGCTGGATGATTTAACACTATGATAATCTCATTCTTATTAATGCAGCAATCACAGTTGCAGTCTCAATTTATGAGACTCATTCATTCACATCCATCAAGCTGCTAAGTCTTTGATCGTCACAGTGTTTTCTAAAGGAAATGTATTCAGAGTAATTTTAAATTTTAATACCAAAGTATATTGCATTAGAAATCTCTCCCAAATACATCATTTTCTTCTCAGTTTAAAATTGCTTACTCATTCTGCATTTTCCTTTGGTTGGCACAATCCACAAAACATTTCTACTGACACATTCAGCTCTCAAGCAACTGAGACCCACCATGTTTCTAATTCCATGCTTTTCCTGATGAAATATTAGATGTTAGTCCTACCCATGCAAAACACATTTAAAAAGTGGTGCTTGTTAAAACAAACATCTAATTTGTATTTTTATCCAGAACAGGATACTAATGATATTTGAAAGGACATGTGTTTTGATCACAATCAAAACAGGGTTTTTTTTAATTTTTCTGTTGATCACTGTGGAATGTATCCAGCTCAAAATTGTGCTTCTTTCTCTTAACCCACAGTCGCTGGCAATGTATATCCCAGTTTGTAAAGCATTCAAGCACATGCTTTTCTTTGTGTATGCACAAAAAGCTCTTTCCTAGGTTTAAAATAAGGACATTCATATAAGTGAAAGCATTCCCCAGATGAAATGTGAGAAAGTTAGTGGCTACAATGCTAAAATGAAGTCAACACAAGCACATGCTAAAAGTAATTGATTTAAACACATTGTTAAATCAGAGCCTAAATTACAATTGCAGAGCCAATTTCCATCTCCTCAGCATTACAATTAATACTGTCAGGCAGCAAGGACTTACTAAAGGGTCTCTGATCCCTTGATTAGCAGCATTTAGTGTGGTCCATTGCTCACGCTTAAGTGATAAAAGCAGTCATTTATCTGAACAGAATATCATATGTACCATCACTGCACTGAGACCAAATGCAAAATTATAAAATCATAGCATGTTTTTTGCTGGAAAGGGCCTAAAAGATCATCTAGTTTCAAACCTCCTACCATGGGCAGGGACGTCTCTCACTAGACTAGGTTCAGCACAAACGCCTGGAAAGTAATTTGTGCTAGAAGGCAGCCACATCAGCAGGCAAAAGATGCAAAAATGCAAAGAAGCCATTTGAAGCCATCAGTTTCTGAAAAAAGGAAGATCTGCTGGGAATCCCCAGTGTTGCCACTGATCAGTCACATGAAAACATGGATCAGAGACTTGCTGATTCATAGCACATATCACATAGTACTTTTGTCTGCCTTTCCAGGACTAACTGATTTGCAACCGTGTATATTTATTGCAATACAGACTTTAGGATTTTAAGGTCTATCCAAAATGGTCAGAAAACCGGACAGAGCTAGCTGTATCTAAGCAAATGTTTCTTTGCAAAGACAGTGGAACAGGCAGCTCAGTGAATGTTAAGAAATAATGCCTCGCTGCCACCTAGAGGCAATCCAGACATTCCCTTTCTTAACCGTCAGATAAAACCTTTCCTGGTTCTCCTGCTCAAAATGCAGATATTCTCTATTGAGTTACAAGGATAAAGTAGATTAATCTCGAGTTTGTTAAGCAGGCAATGAAGTAAATCGATGCTCTATGGAAAATGGGTATTAGCTAACACTCAGTCAGATATCCAGGTCTTTCTATTACCAACAATGTTGTAACTAAGCCCAAAGACTGTGACATCCTGCACTACACGGATCTCCTTCAGAGGCAAAAATCTGAAGTAAATGTAAGCATGTGTATTTTATAACATACAGGTAAAACTTTGATGAAAGAGTATCAAAGATGCAAAATCACATCTATGGGGTATAGTTGGACAGTCTGAAATGAGTAATGCAAATCCCATCTTTTAGTCTTTGATAAAAGGACAAGAAATATTTCAAAGAAGTCTCCAGAATTCTATTTTCACTATTGCTACTTTAAAATTCTTGCTGACTTCTTGAGTGTTGAAATGTTGCTTGAGAAAATAATTTAAACACACAGCTATGAAGAAACTCTAGACATGTTTAAGTAAAAGCCTCTGTCTTCATTTATCTCTATAACTTTTATTAACCCTATAACTTTGGATGAATTTTTCCATGCTGGGTATCTGCACAGACTAATGGATTTGGGGAAGTTTTGTTTTTAATATTCAGACTTCCTCTTTTGATGTAGTTAAGTAAACAATTTGCAAAGAAACTTGAGAGAGTTTGGAGGAGATGGTGGCAGAAAGGTCTTAAAAAGCTATTAGTTTAGTTGTTGCACTAATAAATTCTAGTACTTCTTAAACTTCAAAGAGGAGTTTTCAATTTTCTAGGGAGTCATCACACACCCTGTCTACCTTTTGAAAGACTTGAGTTCACATACATCTACCCAGGTTCTACAGCCATCAAAAAAACTGTCACTTGCACATGTCCAGCAGAAATTTTCAAAGAGCTTAGCAGCTCAGTTCTCCAAAGAGTCTGCCTAGAATGAGTGTCAAAGCTCCTAGAAACCAAAAAGAAAGGATTGTATTCATAGACCGTTGTCATTATGGATTTTGCAGCCAGTTCATGCAAGATTTTCCCTAAAACTATCAGAGAGGTTATTCAGAAGATACTGGAAATCAAGAGTAGAATTACTTAGGAAGCATATTCTTAAGTATCTCAAGTACTCCATTTTTTTTCTCCTATTTTTTTGTAATCCCTTTTTTTTCTTTAACTCCCAGGGGTTACTATTTTTTTTTTCTTGCTTAAAAAAAAAAAAAAAATTGACAGAAGTTCTCTGCAAGAGTTTAATCCCTGTTTGAAACAGACAAGAACCTGCAGCAAATTTCAGAGACCAAGTTGATTTATCCAGGATACAATGATTATAACTGGGACAAGTACAAGGATGCTCAATGCAGTCATTATACAGGACCTGTATCCATTCTGCATGTGACATTAAGCTTATTTATTAGCTACTCAGCTTTTTAGTGACCATGTGAAACGGAAGATATGAATGTATCTCAGTTCAAATTCTGTCCTAGAGAGAAGAGGAAATACAAATCAGACAAAATGGGGAGGAAAACATCTTCCATGAGAAGGGGCCTAAGTGCAAGACAGGAATGGTTGTGACTGATCTGCAGCCTCTTCATAACAGTATGCTTTGAATACTATTTAACTTTATTACTGGAATTATTGGAACTTTATTATTGGAATATCCAATCTGCATGACAGTCTCATAAAAAATATCCTTCTCATGAAATCTATGTTTTTCACAGCACTGAAAATGCACAAGAAACTATCCTTTTTGCACAGGGAGCTTGAAATGACAGCCACCTCACTGCTGTCAGAACTGTAGTTGCATGTACTCTCTATCTTCACACAGGCTGCAGAGGACTTTAGGTCTCTGCTTCCCTTACCAGGTATTTTTTAATCATAAGTGCCTAAGCAACCAGCAAGACTGAGACCAGCACTTTGTTTACTTCCTTAGCCTCCTGAAAAGGGAACTGTGACTGCATTTACTGCCTGGTTATAAAGCTACTGATGTGATAGGCTTTTGACTTTCTATCTGCAGCAGATGATTCAGCTGACCATAACGTTCTGGATGAACAGTCTAGAAAACAGAAGTGTGCTCTCTGGCACCTCTTAAAACATGAGACATAGAATAGAGACCAGGTAGCTACAAAAAGGAAAATAAAATAAAATAAAAACAACAAAAAAGCACCATTGCATTCTAATACCAAACAGCCAGAAAAAGACTGGATAGAGTACCAGCCAGAAAGATGCTCTGAACTGTGCAAAAGGAAATTATTTTTCATTGTTTGTTTCACACTGTGTTCAGGACAACAGAATATTCCTTCTTTGAACAGCATTACGTGAAAGAAATATGATTCCATTATCAGTTTATTCCCCTCTTGGGAAGAACCCATAAGGCTCTCTAAAACTTAATGTTTGGGTCAGAAGTATGAGGTCATTCTGTGCTCTGACATAGAGAGTATTGGTTCATAAAGAGGAATTTCAATGGCAGGATTATCTCTTTATCAATATATCTTAATACTTGGCATTATCATTGACTTTTCCTCCTGGGGCTTACCTTCTACAACAGGTTTAAAAGAGTTAATAATTCACACCCATATTATACATTATTTTAAGGACCCAACTCAACTGAAAGTGCCTCAGCTATATTTTCAGATATTTAAGACAATCACTGGAAAAGTTATTCTATTTTGTCAGAGCTTTTCTCAAATTCCTTGAGTGGCACCCTGAGATAGCAGTAGTTCAGCAACTCTAGTGCTGAGAAGTGAGAGGGAGAAAAAAATCCACTCAAAGTATTTATACTTATTCCCTGACTTTGGAGGAACGGAGCTGCTGCCAGCTATTAGAAGTGTTTAGCTTGTCCTGGATTACAGGAAGCACTTAAGAAAACTGTTTCTCACTTTTCATTCTAAAAAAAAGCCCATAGAGTTGGATGACACTAATATCCAGAAGCTCACAATCTCTAGCTGGCAGTGATACCACTGCTTCCTCCCTCTGTACCACCCCAGATGCTGTGGACTTGTATCAGTTGAACCAGTCACAGCACTGGTAAGAGAAGCTGAAGCATTAATCTAGCAGAATATTAGCTAAAAAAATAAAAATTAAAAGAAAAAAAAAAAAAAAAACCAACCACAAAAAGGGGGGTAGGGAGTGTTGCGTCTTGGCTTATAAAACTCACTTGGCTCCCATAAATGTCTGACAGGCACCAAAGGTGGCATGAGGGAAGAACTGTGGAGCAAAGGAGTGGTGAAAAGGCAGAAGCAAAGAAATAGAGTGAAAACCATGTTTTAAATACAACAAAGGTTAAGCTTTCATAAATCTAGACCCTAAATCTATAGGGCTCAAATGACCCTTTTTCAACAACAGGTTTTGCTAACCCAGCAGGCATGTCAGAACTGTGTCCACT